CTGCTGACAGAGACCCAGGGCGGTCCAGTGGGTCTGCCCTGCTTCACGCAGCTCATTCTGCCACGCATGTGGGACGCCGCCGAATACTGCCCTCAGTCCGTGCTCGATTGGCTCTCACTGCAGGCCACCAAAAATAAGATAGCCCACGCCTGGATACTCCAATCCGCCGAGCAGTGGCTGGAGCAGTTCCTTCTAGCCCACGACAACACACGCGTGAGGAATGGTATGTCTTATCCACTTGCTGGGTTGTGCACTGCTAAACTTTACTTTTTTGCATTGTTTCAGCTGCCGCTTTTCTTCTGGTGGCTTTGGTACCCTCTCAGCCCTTCCGCGCCAACTTTCGGGCACACTCACAGCACAAACTGCTGGCACTCAATCCGAACAGCTATCGGTAGGTGACGCCGAAAACAATCAAAAACCTGAATTAAACTACATTTTGTGTATGTTCCAGCGACATCAATAGCGAGGCACAGGTGGTGCTGCATCAGGTGATCACGTTGCTGTTGCGACTGTTGCGGCCGGCACGCGTCTATGCGGACATTGCCTCCCATGGAACCACCAAGCTGACTGCCTACTTCAATCTCCTCAGCTACTGTATGGTTTCAAAGACTGAAAAACTAATGGCAAGTTTTGGCAGCAGCACATCTCCCGCTTCTCCCAAAAGGCTTAAGAGTATTTTTCTTTCTCCCTTTGACCTGTAGATAGGATCGTTCATGCGCTCCCTGTGGGAGCTGTTCCATCCGCGTCTATCGGAGCCCAGTGTGCCCGCCCATCACAACAAGCACGCGCTGCTCACCTTCTGGCACCACTCACTGGTGGACTGTCCCGAGAATGCTGCCCAAGTGGCCAGCTGTCCGGAGATAACGCGCAACATAGCATTTAATTATATATTGTAAGCATAATCATGGTTACCCAGTTGCCAATTTTAATTCCCTCTTTTTCTCCTTTAAGGGCCGATCATGATGACGCCGAAATTGTCACCTACAACCGGTCCATGCTGCCCGCTTACTACGGCCTGTTGCGGCTGTGCTGTGAGCAGAGCCGTGCCCTCACCCGCCAGCTGGCCCAGCACCAGAATCTGCAGTGGGCCTTCAAGAACATCACGCCACATCCCACCCAGTATGCGGCCGCTGTGGATGAGCTGTTCAAGCTGATGGCTCTGTTTGCCACACGGCATCCAGATGCCGGCGAGCAGGAGAAGCTGGATGTCATACAGTTTAGGCGCACCATCATCATGTCCTACATGAGCAGCCTGGATGCACGCGTCTCCTGGTCCACGCTGATCAGTGCTTTAAAGATATTGGGTAAGATTATCCTACAGTAACATCTGGAACTCATTTAACTTGCTGTGCTCTTACCCAGTGGACAATGAGGACGATCGCATGCTGGTGATCTTCAATGGCGGCATTGAGATGTGCTTTGAGGCTTTGCACACGCTACATTCCATGCACCACGAGGCCACGGCCTGCCATGTGGCCGGGGATCTGTTCGATTTGCTCGGTGAGATGCTTCTGCTGCTAGCCACCCTGCGCACACGGACGGATAGTCCCGCCCAGAAGAAGCAACAGCAGCAGCAGCAACAATTGGAACAGCAGCTGCAACTACAGCAGCAGCAACTCCTGCAGAAGCAGCAGCAGCAGACACAGAGCACCCAATCACCGCAGACGCCGCAGCAGAAGGAGAAGCAACTACAACAGCAAATGCAGCAGCATCTGCAACTCCAGCAGCTGCAGCAGATGCAGTTCCAGCAGCAGCATTTCCTGCGCCAACAGCACCAGCACTCGGCACTGGCCAAGGCACTGCCTGATGCTGTCAAGCGGCTGGCCACGCTGCTGAACACCTTCAACTCGCCGGAGATCAGCCGCATGGCTCTGGAGGTGCTCAAGGAGCTGGTGCGGAACACCAGCTTGGAGGCCACCAATATACTAGCACCCATTCTGATCAACTGCCATTTGTCCGTTGCCAATGCGCCGAATGCCATTGGACCCCTGGGTCCGTTCTTTCCACGTCGCGGAGCCAAGCACACGCCCTGGCCGCTGGGTGCCAAAAACTCGCCACGTCCGCCCCGTCCCATGGTTCAGATGTGCATTGCCCTGTCGGAGTTGAACTCGCGTGGCCTAGATGCGGAGTACGATGCCCATGTGGAGGGCTTCTACAGGCCCTACCACGACTTCATCGACGTGATGATGCGGATGTGCGTCAACACGGGCTCCCTCAACGACACCCTCGTCAAGCTGCACTGCCTGGTGGCGATCGAATCGACGCCTCTGCATTTTAACTACTTTCCCAAGTTCTGGGTGGGAATACACAACAATGCCCTGACACACAAGTGAGTTGATGCCCGACCGAGTGATTTGATTCCTTAAATTATTTATCTGATTTCACAGATACGCGGAGCTGCTGGTTAAAAATCAACTGCTTGTGGAATACCTGCACAATGTGCTCCGGGACGAGCGCAGCATGCTGAAGGATGCGTGTGTGCGAGAGTTCCTGGAGCTCTACTACCATCGGGTGGCTTCCCAGTTGCCAGTGGCGCGCATGATCTACACGATCAACTATAGCATGCACTCGAAGGATGACATCGACGAGCTGTGCGGCGATCTATTTGCCATACGGATCATTGCCCAGGCCACGGGTGTGCCGGCCACCGTGCGAAAGGAGTTGCGTGGCTCTCTCAGGGCGCTCCAGACCAAGACCGAACGCTTCAGGCTAGAGGCAGAGCGGGGTAATATTTCATTATTTATTTCTTTTTTATTTTATTCATTAATAATTATATTTATTTTGCATGTGTAGACGATTTTCCCAACAAGAAGCAAAAGCGAGACTCGTGCAAGGAGAAGGAGAAAGATCAGTCCGACACGGATAACTCCTCGGTCACAGATGCCAGCAAAGCCACAGATGTCTCCATGGAGGTTATTGCCACCAACAAAACCAACAGCGTTAAGAGCGACTCAGTTATGGACACAACTGCCAAACCACCGACACCTGCCGGCAGCGAGGATGAACAAATGGAGAGCACCTCCTCGGAAAAGCTGGAGAAAGCTGGATCTACCCCATCGTCCGACGATGAAACCGAACTTGAGGATGAGCTGGAGCCCACGCCAAAGCGCAACAAGAAGTCCAGCAACAAGAAAACCGCGCAGGATCGACTGAACGAAGAGCGTGAGAAGCATCTGATCACGCTCATCACCATGGAGTCGTACATCCAAAACATATTCTCCATCTTGAAGCGAGACTCGAAGCAAATTGAGGAGCCAGCCTCAGAGGCCTCCACCTCAGCAGCGGCGGCGGCCAAGGCCAGACCTAAGGGGGCACACACCCCGCCAGAACCACCTATGCCCGAATCGTCCATGGAAACAGAGACGTCATTCTGTGGACGAGCTGAGGCTGAAAAACGACCGCATTCCCCAATGACCAGTAAGCCCAATGGCAGTCAGCCGATGTCCGCCGCCGATTCCCTGCCAAGCGTTGTCGAGGCTGCCCTGTCTACGCCCACCACCCCAGCTGTTGCCTCCACATCCCAGGCGGCGAGTCCAACACAAATGTAGTTGTCGTTCAACGATTTGATCAGCATTTTATTTTTCGGCAAGCCCCTGGACTGATAATGAGCAAACGGGGATGATGATGGGATTGGGGGGCTGGTCCTTAACTTGTAAGAATTTCGTGGCCAAAGGTCAATGTTATATACGAATACGAATACAGAAACAGTAACAGATAAATGTAAGCAACCCAAGGTTGGTGCTAATGGTTGACATGTGAACTCCAATCAAATCCACTCACTCCACACATCCACATGAAGAGACAGACGAAAGATACGGACAAACAATTCAGATTTACGAAAGCTACGGATAATAGACTGTAAGATTAGCTTAGCAGCATCTAACTCACACACATTCAAGACCCACAAACACATGCATACATACATATATTCAATATATAGCGATAAATGTAACTAACTTTTAAGACTCTTCCCCACAACAAGCACGCAACCCAGAAGCAAGCCCAAGCAGAAATTCCCTTTCAAATATTACAAAAATGATTGTTATGCCAAAAGAAAAAAAACAAAAAGAAAAACATTAAGATCAAACTCAAAACGAAAATGGAAAAATGGAAACATTTATAAAGCAAACAATTAACAACAAATGGCATTAAATGTTTTAACAGCAATAGTGGAAGATGAATATATCAATGAAACGGCTTACGAGACGCTAATATCTATTATATGTGTTGTATTAGGATCCATTAAGTATCATTTATGAAACGATGCTAAGAACATTTGCTTCCCTCAACCCATCCTACCGCTTATCCTGATTCCACCCTCATGCCCCATCCCAACCACTTGCACGGTAAACACGAGAAATGATACGTTAGAAATGAACAGATATTATTATGATATGATTAACTTAACGAAAGATTTTTAAATATTGGGATGTGTATTGTCAAGCCAACGATGTCCAATGTAAATTGTGCATAAGGCAAACAAAATACGAACAGTTTTTAGTTCAAGTTATAAAATATAACTTAGTCCATAAGCAATTGCTGTCCCAAGGTGAAACACAACAGGACACAAGAAATGATACCATTATAAATAAATAAAACGTTTAGAAAAGGCTAACCCCGACAAACCCCGGGGTAGGCGCATATTGTTAGACATAAGCCAAGTAAACCCCCAGCATACGATCGAAATCTATAATGTAATAATGTGTTGAAAAAACAGAAAAACAAACGAAAACTAAAATCACGAAAACAAAACAATGAGAGAATATAAGTTAACTGATATGTAATTGAATCGAACTCCTTTGCAGTTAATTCTTTTTGGTGTGGTGTGGCTCCTTTTCCCAACCTCCCTCAACCTGTTGCTGCCATCAGAAACAAGAGAGATTCGTGTTCTGTTCTCACTCTGTTTGAACGCATGCGCCAACAAATTCCTGGCAAATGTCATCCCAGTAGTCGGAGAAAATTACGTGTACGTGGGGAAAAAAAAGTAAAACAGAAGTCAGTCCAGTCACTTTAAGGCAGTCTTTGGAGTACGAACAACAAAATACTTGAATACTTAACAGAATATATTATTTTCCATTGGAAAAAGAAAAAAGGAAGTTCGAATTTATACTGCATTTTTTGTAAATCAAAAAAGAAACAAAAATGCCTTGCATTGGTTGTGAAAAGGGTGAGTAGTCGATTTATAATGCCTGGTGTCTGGATATTTAACCCCTGGACATTTTCCAGACTGCAAATGCACTCCCGAAAAGTGCTGTGACAGCTGCAAATGCCAGAAGCCTGGAAAATGTGGCTGCAATCCAGCCAATGCCCCCGCATCAGGTGGATGCTGCAAAAAGAAGAATGACTCAGCATCGCAGGGCCAGTGCTGTGGCAATGGGGACAAGAAGTAGAGGGCAGTCATTAGCACAAATGGAGCAGCTGCATTTGATTGTTTTGATATAAAATACAAATAAAATATGCAAAATGTAATTTGCAATTAAACAAAAGCCCCGTACCAGTAAGTATTGCAACTGTTTTTTTCAATATGCAAACATATAAGTACTGGCAGGTGCCAAGAGTGTAGCAATCCATCGGGAAAAAGCTGCCATGGAAAGACTTCACGCAGGGGATCTACAAGGAAAATGCATTTAGTTTTCGTTTATTTTGTCGATGGCCATAACTGCTAGAGTGAACTAAATCAGTTATCATATGGTACATACACATTTATTGTTTAATCGAAACAAAACCAAGAGTTTTAATTTTACTGCTCAACACAAACTAGATACCTAAACCAGCATTGCATTGCCATTGTGTTAAATGTTCAATGGGTGACAATGGTTTAATTAAATATTTATTTTCTTCTTTATTAAAGAGGAGAGACTAAGATTAATAACAAAACGGTTGGCAAAATGAGGCGCTTAGCAAACCAGCAAACTACTACAAAGTGCACTTTTCTTTTTATACATACAACACAATTTTTGATTGCTAATGGAATTCTCGAACAAAAACGAATGACACGAGGTTGGAGGACAAGGTGGTGTGGTGCGTGGCTTGGCGGAGGCAAGATCAAGATTATAAAGAAATTCAACAAAATTAAATTCGTTAGCGATTTGTTTATATTACAGCGTTAGATTTCATATGTCCGTTCGTTTATAGACGCATATCGTGTATGGTACGAGTATATATAAAAAAACAGTTTAAAATTTAACTTTTCTAAACAGATACGAGCCACTTACTAAGGATGCACTTATGTACGCTTAACTATAAGTAATATATAGACCAACTACACTTCAATTAATGCAATATAAAAACAGGGTCCTTTCAGGGGGCTTTTAATAACTAGACGTGTGTGTTTCTTTCATCCTATATAAAGTATCGGTTTATACAACTCAGGGAGAGGATTCGGATTCCCTCCTTTCAAAAGGGATGGATTCCGGTAAGGGATTGCCGCACCAATCGACAGATTCATTTAGTTGCGCTTTGGCTTGCGTTTCTTGCGACTGTTGTTGTTGTTGCTGCTGCTGCTAGAGGTGACCGATGGGGGCGACGCGATGGTCGTGTTCGTGGAGCTGCTGCTGCTGCTGCTGCCGCCAAATCTGCGCCAAATACTTTCGATGAAATCAGCTCCACTTTTGTTGCTATTTTTTCTTGATTTGTATGCCACATTGTTGTTATTATTATTATTGTTGTTGTTGTTGCTGTTGCTGCTGTTCTTGCTGCTGGTCGCCTGCTGCTGCGCTTTGTGCTGCGATGCTTGGGCGTATTCTCATGAGCGCTTCACCTTGCCATTTGAGGCATTCACCGATGACTGGGAGCGATAGCCGGCAGCAGCGCCTCCACCCACAGCCAATTCGGTGGCATGCGTGGCCACATGATGTATGCCCTTTTCCATGCATCCATGATAGATGGGACGCATAAACTGCAAGAAGAAAGCATGGATTAGAATTCCACTTTAATGAATATCAAATCACTCTCTCACCTTCTCCCACATGAGCGTGGCAAACTCATCCAGTTTGCCCCCGAAATCGCTCAGCTCGCCGCTGTATCTGTAAGTGATAGAGAAGACAGAAGACATTTAGTTGGTTGGGAACTCTCTGTTTTGATCTAGGCAATGCCTTTACCTGATGTACGCCCAGAGGGCAAGCGTCAGCAGGGCGACGCCCATCACTAGATTGCAGAAATTGGCAAATGTATAGAGACCGACCAAGCCAAAGATGCCACTGAGGATGTACATAATGACGGCACAGGCAAAGTACACGGCCGGTGTACGGGCCGCCTTGAAGATGTTCTTGCTCTCGTTGTGCGCTTTGTAGTTGACAAACACCTCCTCGAGATCCTCGTCCAGCTGCACCCGGAACTTCTCGGTGAACTCCTCGCCGCCCATTTTGCGTTTGGTGGCAAACTGGAACAGGGCCTTGTCCTTGACCCGTATATGCTCCGTCTCCAGGTGGGCAGTGCTTAAGTACGGCCGCGTGCCGCCGCATACCTCCTCCATGAGCTGCTGGTACAGCTCCTTGGCGGCAGCCACAGCAGTCAGATGATTGGCCTCGGCCGTGGCCACCAGCATGCTCTTGGGCTCTGGCAGCTCGTTGCCTTTGTAGATGTTCATATAAGACTGGAAGTACTGGATGAGATCGCGAGCCCGCACCCGCTGGCCGCTGATCTCCTTGTAGACCAGATTGTCCGGCGCCAGCAGCATGGGTACCAGGGTGCGCAGGCTGTTCTTGAACTCGGGCGTGATGTCAGTGAGCCGGCCGTCGAACTTGGGATTGGTGGCCACATTCAGGCCCGGATGTGGCATCAAGAAACATGCCACCTCGGTGAAGCACGATGAGATGTGGCGACGCAGCGACTGTAGCTCCGGATGCTGCTTATCGGACACCTCCAGCCGGCGCTTGAGTATCTTATCGCCCCCCATTGCACCGTACTCCGCCTCGTAGGGGAAACTCCAGTCGCGGACCAGGAACTGCAGGCGCTGGAATGGCTTCTTGCCGGTGTCGGCCAGCGCCAGGCGGCCGTACTCGGTGAACAGCTGCAGATGCTGCAGGTCGTCCTCCTGTATGTTCTGTGAGAGATTGTATATCTGCACCGACGACAGCATTGTGCTCAGCGCAAACACCGTGGCGCAGTCTCGCACTGTGCTCTGACTGTCGAAGGCTCCCTGCGTGTCCAGCAGAATGATGGCGATCTTATCGCCATTGGGATAGTCATGCAGGAATATGTCGGACCACATCACAATGCCGGTGGTGTCGCGCTCAGAGCCGCCGCGCCACGAAAAGCCCGACAGTGGCTCCGCCTCGTCGCCCAACCAGTCTGTCACATCGTGGCGTACATACTAGAAGAAAAGAGTCATAGATAAGCATTCATAAGCATAAGTATGGACTGCACCGACTTACCTTTGAGTACATGTATCGCAGAAAGAAGTCCAGCAGAAAGCTCTTGCCCTTGCGGAAGGCGCCAGCAACAGACACCACGCACACGAAGCGATCCTTGACCTCCTCCCGCATCAGCACCTCGCTGAGTGCATCCTCGTTGAGCACAAATGTGTGCTCCTCGGATGCATTGATAACTTGCACTGCCGAGCCGCCCATTGCAATATCCTCGTGTCTTTCCGCGGTGAGTTATTGATTTTATAAGAATATTTCCTTTTATTGCTTCACAAAATTTGGTATTTCGGGGCGTTCAACTGTAACGAGACGAGACGAAAATCACTAATAAGCATAGATTTCGAAAACACAAAGAGTAACCCATAATTGCGCAAGCTTCTGCCCGTTTCCACCTTTGGAGGGGTTCTGTATAAATCTTGGCACCGCCACGAGACACGGAGCAGCGGCCTGCAATTATGAGAGGCAGCCAAAAATAAACCCAACTATGTGCCCTGTCAAAAGCAGATGTAAATGGAGGCCATGCCCCCCGATCTCAGGGAAAGTTCATTTTGCAGAAACACTTTATACTCCTACGTAGTTAAATATTTTATTCCATCGTTGGGGCTCAGAGAGGTTAAATAATGCACAATTGCATTCTTCACACTGCACACACATTAAAATTAATTTCATTTGCTGCGCCGTTGATGACGTCGACAAACTTTTGTTTCGATACGCAGTTGACCAATGCTTTTGGTTTGGAATCCGATTGGAAATAAAGAACAAAACAGACACTGAGCACGTACCACGTACCACTACTGGAGCAGCAGCACCTACTACATGGGGATCTGGAAATTATGCCAGACACACGCGATTGCCACCTTAAAAACACACAGAATATGTTTCTTTAATTAAATTGAATTAGAATCGGTGACAAACGACAACGACAGCAGCAGCGGTACGGACAGCGCTGTCAACGAAATCACAAAAACAACATCACGCAAGTCATGGGAGCTTACTCAATAGGGCAGTGAGATTGAGAGAGAGAGAGAGAGACCCCTGTGCGATTAGTGGGAGCAAGAGGTGGAAAAGAGAGTGATCACTCTGCCCGCATGGCACACGTTGGGGCATGGGGACAGCAGCAGCTGTCGGTTGCAAGTTGCAACGCGACTGTCCGTACAATTAACACATTGCCACATAATTAAATTGGAAATTGTGGCTGGTATATGGCTCTGGGCCAGACTTTGGCGCGGAGCAGCATTTTCAAAAAAATATTCAGCACTGGCAATGCCATTTCCAAATGCTACCTGCCCAAGTCGAGCTCAAGCTGCTAGGCTGTCAAACAGGTGTGTGAGCAGCACAGCTCTATATCAGCGAAAACCGTACGATCAAAAGACAAAAACCACAGCACCAGTTGTCTCTATTGCACTCACGCGGTGGTCTGCTTGATAGCGATGTAAACAACGAAATTGAAAAGTAACAGCAACAGTTGTGCCAGCGTCGACGCCGGCAGAGCCAACGATTAGTCAACTGGAAATGAAATGGTTGCTGAGAAACCACCAACAACAGAAAACAGAACGGCGGGAAGAAGAAGAGGCTGTGTTCTGAGCAGCGCTTGAAAAAATGTTGAGCGGCCAAAGGAAAACGAAAATAAGCGTTTAATTTACCTAAATTGGGTCCGAAAAAGTGTTTAATTAGCTTTAATCAACTAGGGGTGCTCCTCGACTGCTGGAAAACCACCACGAGGGTCACTCGCCATTCAGACAGCATGCAGCGCAGACTCGGACTCGAATGTGGATGCGGACACCGCCCTGTTCCAATTGCCAAGCGGCTGGCCGCCTGCCTCGTGGCCATGCTCTGGCTTTGGACAGGTGCATCCTGTGCGTCCGAGCAGACTCCCGTGTACTACTACGTTGGCTGCTACACTGCCCGCACGGATCTGCTGCACGAATCGGTGTACGCCAAGACGCCGCAGACCTGCATCGAGATATGCGAGCGCCAGCGTCATCTCTATGCCGTTTTGGCGGCGGAGAAATGCTTCTGTGCCAACGGCCTGGAGCCACAGGATCAGCAGGATGAGCAGCTGTGCA